TTTTTTTAAAACCCACTTTGGGCCCCTGTGGATAAAATACCCCCCCCCCCCCCTATGACGAAAGTTCCTTATACCAAAAAATCAGCCATTGTTTGTGGACATTCTTCTTCATCATTTTTATTTAAAAAATAAGAAGATAATGGATCATAAACTTTTAACAAACTTTCAATTGATTTAAATAAACTAAGCCACCGAATAACAATATGTTTTAACAAAACTTAACAGAATAAACATTGTTTAGAAAAAGAGCATTCAACATAGATAAAGAGGCGAACTACTAACCTGTTGTACCAAATCAAAATATTCTTTTAATTTATTAACTCTCTTTACAGACCTTGAAAAATGGGAATATAATTTTGATAAAACAGCTTCAACATCAATAATAGTTTATGAGAATTTTTAACAGTTTTGTGCAATACATGTGCAAAACAATTCCCGAAAACAAACAACAACGCACCATCAAAATAAAAAAATCTGCAAAAACTTAATGAATAAGTACCTTTAATTAAATATGGTGAATCTTCTCTTAATAGCGTAACTACTGAATGATTAACACCAAAATTAACGTTTGTATTATCAGCACCCATTGATATTAAATTATTAATGTCAATACCATTAATTTTTAAAACTTCTTTAAATGTATTAACAACTACCGTTGCTGTTTCACCCGATTGTTCAATAAATTCTAATACACCCCACTTAATACCACTAGTAATAGTAAAAAATCTAACGGCAATTGGAAACATTTTCAAATTCCCTTTGTTTGATGCATCATAACAAAGTGAAAAATAACGTGTTTCAGATAATTTTTTAATTATATCATTTGTAAAATATGGTGCTAAATGTCAAAAAACTCGGCTTAAATAGGGCGGGTATATAACCAAAAAAATTATCAATCTCTTATCAAGCACGTTTACTGCAATTTCACGCGACTTGATTTCACCACATACTGAACTTTTTTCAACTATACAATCACTAAATAATTTTTTTGCAACATTCATTGTACACGCTTGACTAAAATAGCTATGACCATGGCGCACGCCATGATAGACAATTGTTGCTTCAGCTGCACTAATTTGTTGTAAAGTAGATGATGGTACAAGAAAATCTTTCATTGCGCGTGCTAAAAACCCGAAAGATGTTGAGCTTCTAGGCAAAAAATTGAAGAATCGGTTAATGAGACAGCTCAACTCACCTTTTAGTTGAAGTTCACTTTAACAAGTCGTTGATGTTTTTCTGATTCTTTATGACGATTGATTGCATAAGTACCATTAGCAATAGAGAAATTTGCATTACAAAGTGAACAAACTGCTTTTGAAGCATCAATTATACATTTTTTTAAAAATGAAATATATTGTGGATCTTTTAACCATTTACCGCTAAAATTACACTGCCGTTTTGAGGATGGAAAGGAAGCTGCTGAGTTTTGTTTTGTTGTCGTCAATAATTTTTTGGTTGTTGTTTGTTTCTCACTTGCACAGTCTACATTCTCACGAGCGGCCGTTTCTTCTACTAGTTCTAATTTGGAGTTCATTCTTTCAAAGCTAATTTTTCGAATTTCAAACAAAAGATTTTCTCCTTAAATTAGGTTTATCCACAAATTC